GCAAAGTTTGTTACTCCCGATCCGAGCACGGCAAGGAAAAGGGCAGGACACTTTGCTTACCTTAGTCAAATTTGGAGTTAAGTTTCAGGCTTTAAATTGAAGCGGTTTAGTTGCTTGAGGGAGACAGAATATTAATTATAAACCGTTTTTACATCATGAAAAAAAAATCCATTCGATTTAAGTGGTGAACTTTCAAGTGGCGTCTGTAAGTGAAATCTACATTCTTCCCTGGGCGATAAACTCTTGATCCTCTGCTTTAGCCCTGACACCTCTCCTTGTCACCCCCCACCCCATCACCCTTTCTTTTTTGCCTAGATTTTTTATTACCTTTTTCCGAAGCCCCTCTTTGGAGGATACATTTGCTGTTGGAGGACCGAGAGGAGCAAATGAAACAACACGGTTATATGAAAGGTCTCTGACCCTTGAACACCGTGGAATTGGTTTCAGGCATCATTGTGTGATCTCCGATTGGACACGACCCTGAAAAGAAATTGCTTGGCCGAAGTTGAGGGTGGGAGTTAAACCTTGAAAAGCAAATAGAACCGAGGACAAGTAACAGCTGGAACAGCCTCTGAGGCAATCATCTTTGCCCTGGCTTGAGCCAAACAGAATAAAATGGTAAATATCCCAAGGAACAAGAAATGTGAACTAAAATAGGATTTCTGATACTTATATTGACGCCCTCCCCTCCAAAGCCCTGCCCCACGGTAGCAGAAACTTTAAAATATATTTTACCATCCACACCCTGCCAGTATTCCAGCAATACAAGCCAAGTTCAACAATTCAGCATGCAAATGCCAAGGTTCCTCTAGAAAAAGAGTCTGATCCCCAGATTAAAGTGAAATCATTTGTGTGTGTGGATCAATGGGCTCCAGATTATATATGAAGCCAAACTCTAATCCTCTGCAAAACGCAAGAGAACGCTACCTTTTTATATTGCTGCATAGCGATTAGTTTTCTCCCTGGGAAGTAGTGGAAAGATAGTTTTTTAAAAAAGGCAACTGTTCGGAATATTTTCAGTAGCATGTAACAGTGGTGGCAGAAGAAATCTTATTTTAATTAGGCAACTGCCATTTTCCCAGCCATAGCACTAGATATTTGTTACTTTTTACAAGTGTTGAATGTTTGTTTTTAAGAAACTAAAAAAGCAATTCCAATAAGTCTGATTATTCCAGCACTGACAGCAGGAACAGCTCTGAGGCAGTTATAATAACCTTGCACACTACTTGAAACTAAAGAAGGTGAGAGAAAATTTACATTGTATGGTAGGAAATTAGGTCAGCCTTGTGCTCAGTAGAGTAATGCTTTAATTTCTTATTATTGACAAGTAGGTGTTGCCAGGGTCTTTTGTCATAGTCGATGGTTTTATATTTTAATTTCCATCAGGTTTCTATCACAGCCTCAAATAAAAGGGAAAAAGAGAGATTATCATGGTTTGTACATATAAAAAGAAGAGGGGAAATCTTCATATAAATACTGCTCAGAGACGCATATCTGATGCCAGGCTTTGGAACCAGCAGTGCCAAAAATCAATAAGATTTGCTTTTAAAGATTTAAAGAGCGTTTTAAGGATTATTTATGAAGCTGATCTCTGTGGTAATGTATATACAGACTTATGATCTATGTTGAACATTATTCTCAGGCCAAACAAAGATGGACCCGTTAACATGTGAACAGGTTTCAGAATTTCCTTTTTGGTTGTTCATGGTATACGGGGAGTGCATTTCTGATGTGGGGAGTGAAATGCAGAAAAGAGACAATTAGCAAAAACAGTGCCACCCACCCTTCCACTCTCTCCTTCCTAGCACACCATGTTTTTCTATATTGTCTGCATATTTCAGGTAAGTGTGACCTCTTCTCATGGAGTTATTGAGAAATCTCTACTGTTTTTGAAAGCAGGCACAGAGTAAGAAATGAAGCTGTAAAATCTTTATTGATCATGGACAAAAAATTGGTTTGTCCTTCAGAGTAGAAGATAGATATGAATTATGCAGATTTGTGCCTACTGTTTCATCCAGTCCGTATTCATAGTTCCTATCTATTTTAGGGAGTTAAATGTGTCCCAGTAGGGGTCTGGATTCATCACAGGTAGAAAATACTCACATGCTGTGAAGTGAATATTTGGTTCATCATATAGTTACCAAAAAATCTGAAGCTATGTTGCCAAGCACTTTCAGTATTAAATGATTAAAAGACTATTTCTCTCCTTTTGAGGATTAGTCACACCCTTTATTCTTTTCTTCTTTCCCCTTGTGCTCACTTCTTTTGCTTAGAACTGGTTTGCAATTGAAGTGAAACTAAGACTGCAAAGATGAAATCTAAATCTGGTTTTCTAGTTCTTTTGCATTGCTTAAAAATAAAAGGTTTGTGTGTTGAAGGTGAGAAAGGTTAGCTTTGGAGTTGTTTGAGGAGCTCATTTATCTGTGTTATTCAAGTCCTCCCGAATCACAGATAACTGGGAGAATAGTACATATCAAGGACTAGTATCTTAACTCACAAATGGGCAATGAAATTGGGGGCTTAGAATTTCTTCCTTCTTCCAGTAAAGGAGATTCTCAGTTTTGCCAAGGACTGACGGATTAAAGAAAATTATTTCTAAAACCCTTTTCATAATTTTAACCTTCAAAATAAATTCTTTAAAAAGGTAGGAAATGTAGATATGCCAACAGTCGTGAGATTTCTTTCCCAGATGGGGAGCTACATGAAGCCCTCATTCATTCTATGTGGGATTCTCCTGTAAATTGTATGCACCGTTTCTATTTCCTTTTAGAATTGCGTTTGGTACAAGTTTATTTCTTGCCTATGTGTCTCCAATTTGAAGTCCACTCCAGATGGTGGCTTTTCAGGGTGGTTCCCTGTCTCTGATCAGGCTTATCAACTCAGCTAAATGTTTTCCTGCAGCTCTATAGAAGATGTTCCGGTCCTTACAAATATCCTGGAGATGGGACATTGTTGTTACACAGTGTGACTAGTAAGGGCTTGTGTGAGCCCTTGTACATGTGGGCACACGTGTGTGCTTCCTTTCTTCTCTCTTCCTTTCTCCCTGGTGCTAGTATCGCATCTGAATGACCTTTGGAAATAGAGGAGGCCTGAATGCAGAGTGGTCTCGAGAGAAGGTAACCTTTCCTTGCTCTGCACTTGTGTACGAAATTGGTACACACTCACTTTGCGAGCTGAGAAACACCTGAGAACAAGCAACACTTTTTCCATGAAGCTGCAAGCCACAGCCTCCTTGTACTGTGCATCTAAAGTACCAGGCCTGCCTACCCCCTTCCCCAGATCCTAAATTGTCTTCGTCATGGGGTTTCCTAAAACACCTTAAAGCACAGAGACCACATCTCATCCTCTTCTTGCGCTTTAAGACTTGAATGTCACTGTGCTGCATTCCCTCAACTGATAAGTCCTTGTTACACTCCTCAAATGTGAATTGTCTCTGTGGAAAAGTGAAAAAGAAGTGAATGTATTTGGAAGACAGTGAAACAGCCCTTCACAAGTGAACATTTTCTTGCAAATTGATTTCAGTAGCCCTCACTGTTCAGTCACTGATGGGCAAATATCACAGGGATGGTCTTTGAAGTAGTACAGTTTGGGTGATTTCCATGTGTCTTTATGAGATTTATGATTGTATTATTTTTCTCAAACCAACTTAAATGGTTCTTTTCACTTATTTTTTTTAAATCACAGGTGATAACAGTGTGTTGGTTTTGCTCTCTACAATGGGTCTTTCTTAGGCTTGATTAACTATAGTTGGATCCACATCTATATTGTAATCAACTTAATAATAGATTTGCTTTTAATAGATGACAATTTGAGGGGCACATGATACCAAAAGCGACCACATATTGAGCACCAAACGGTGCCGGTCACTTTCCTATAGCAACTTAATCCTTTAATCCTCCAAGGTAAGCAGGCTTGCTTTAAATTTCGCTCCCAGTAGGGCACAGAGCCCTAAAATTCAAAACATATGCTAAGGCCATTTGACGTTGTTGCCTCTCTAAACTCCTCTTTCTGTGTGAAGCCTCTATACTTTGTGGTCCTCTTGAAATGCCCCAATTTAAGTGATTTCTCTTTCTTTCTTCCCTACCCTTCCCCTCAAAAGATTATGAATAGGCTCTGCATATGAGTACCCAATTATCATTCAAAACTTCATTTTACTGTATCAAAGCCTGTCATGTAATCCCTGAAAACTGGAAATAGGATGCTATGGTGATTTATGTAGATGGGCCAAAGTAAGGAAAAGTATATGTAGTTATTTCTCCAGGGTTTATTCACGTAATTGAATGAGGAACAAAGGTGTTTTGTTCTTTTTGTGGCAGGAGCTGATAGCAACTGCAGTTCAAGAAATAGAAGAGAGCTGTGAATGCTTCATTCAGGCCCAAGTAAATATAGGAAGAGGTGTAGTGGTGTATAGTATAGCGTACTGAGTTTAAAGAAAAAACACTCTGAAAGTAATGGGAAGAAGGAAGTTATGATGTATTAGCCACTGGATATACCTTAAGCTGAAATGAAATACAGGTATCATGGATATGAGATCTGGATATGTAGAGAAAAGAGTAATGGAAAAATGTCAGGGGCAGTGAAAGCAAATGAGAAGTGAGATGATTTATATTTATTGAACTAATGTCCGGTATCTCTTTGACAGAGTTGAATAATTGTCAGTGTCCTTTCTGTAGTGTTTCACATTGGATGGGTGAAGAAATCCTGATATTCGATTATTGATCATGTAACAAGGTCAATATATCATAACTGAGGCACATTCAATTTGTGGGTACAAAGAAGAAACAATTCTGGAAGCGAATCACGTTTATATTGTTTTTCCCTTTGAAAACAAAGACGGGCCTTTCTGCTTGTAAGATAAACATTTCTTCAATACACTATAGAAGTACTTTGAAATAAAGACTCCGAATGATTCAAAAGCAAATCATGTTGCTTTGTTTTTTTCTCTTTTCTCGACCACCCATTGTAAATTCTAAAGTCTTTCTTCATGTTTTGTGTTTTAGCCACGAGACCCAAACAACTTGCTGGGACCATCCCAAAATGACAGAGCTCTACCAGTCATTAGGTAAGGACAAAGCCCTGTTTCCTCCAAGTTAAGTGACCGGTGGCTTTTAGGATAAACTGATTGCAGTGTGAAAGTTATTTGCTATGTAAATATATTACTAGATTGTTTCAAGGGTGAAAGCAATGGCACCTTTCTATCCCAAATTGACAATCACCTTTCTTTTTTTCAGAGATTCCTTAAAAACAAGTTTTAGAAGTTGATTGATTTCTAAAAATTCAATACACCTGAAAGGGCTTAAAGGTCTTTGTAGTTTTCTTTGCTCCCTAAAAGGATGGAAAAACACTTGCAATTTACAGCTGTTTTTTTTTTTTTTTTTCTTCCCACGAAGATGGAAAACTGTTTCAGGTGCTTATTGATTCCTTCCATGTGAAACCGAGACAGCCCTTTTGCCAAACCACAGCTGTTGTGTAAAGGAATTTTCTGCAGTCTTTCCAGTACTCACAATTCCTAAGGCCTGGCAGGTCATTAATGTGAACATTTAAATGATTTCTTTACTATGGCTTGTTTTGTGTTTATGTAAGAGCCTGACAGTTGTGTTTTCTTCCCCCTCATAACTTGAAATATTTTGAATAGGTACATAGCATGCAAATAGGGGTTTGAAAACACCAGTCTTTTTAACACTTGAGGAACGTCTAGATATCTCATTTGTCATTTTAGATCTACAAGGAATATTCTGAAATGAATTATCTTGAGTCGCAGCTTGTTTTTGTTTTGTTTTGGGACAGGGTTTTGCTCTGTCTACCAGGCTGGAGTGCAGTGGTGCGGTCATAGCTTGTGCAGCCTTGAAGCCGTCTGTTTTTGTGCCTCAGCCTCCTGGGTAGCTGGGACTGCAGGCATGCACCACTGTGTCCACCTCATTTAAAAAAATTGTTTATTTTATTTATTTTTGTAGAGATAGATCTCAGGCTGTGTATTTGTGGGTGTGTGTGTGTGTGTTTTAATAAAAAAAGTCATGTCTTCTCTACTTTTTAAAGTCTGTATTTCTGTGAATGGACATGCTGATAGACTAAAATGTGTAAGGCGATCTCTTTGGATTTAAGGTTACGTGATAAAGACCATGGAAATCAGGGTGCTTAAACATAAACTGTATAGGTATATGTAAGTGGAGTGTGTGTGTCAGGGGGTACGTAGGAATTACTGCTTTTGTGTCATAGATTCTCACTGAATGAATTGCAACTATAGAGACACCAAGGACTAAAGAAGAGATATTAGCCAAAAAATTGTTTTATTAAACAGTTTTTAATTATATATGATCTAAATTTCTTCTAGAAAACCCAAAAAATGCAAATAAAAAACATGAAAAGAAAAAAAAGTCACTTATGCTAGTCAGAACGTAATATGATGTCATTTCAGTCTAGTAATAAGTGTGTAAACGTTTAAAAATCTACATAAAATTGGGATCAGCTAATTTTCGACTGCTACATTTCCAACCCCTACAGAATGTTTTTGGCTTATAATTGCAGACTGTTTATAACACAGGTAGGAAAATGTGAATGCTTATCTTTTGGCAAATGAGAGAATGAAACAGCTTCATCTGAAGTGGGCAGCAGCTGTCCTGGGCAAGCTGGTCTTCTATCCCAGTACTCCCAGAACCCCTCTGATTGTACAAGAGAAACTAGAAATCTGTCTGCAAAGAACTAATTTAAATTTGTCTGTGTGCCTCCTGATCATAACCTGTGGTTTACACAGATTTAGCCCACTTCTGATACTTCCTACTCTAATTACAGTGATTTCTAGTTGTAATATTTTAATTTACTCTTAAAATAATTATAGAATTAATGCCTATTTATATTTTTGAAAATTTAATACAAAGAAATCATTCATAACCTACTTCTTAGAGTTAGCTGATGTTTAATAATCTAGTAGATATCTTCAAAAATGTCTTTCTATACATATATTTTTCTAGAAGCTGAATGATTTTCTCTCTTTTTTTTTTTTAAAGACAGAGTCTTTGCTCTTGTCACCCAGGATGGGGTGCAGTGGCGCAATTTCAGCTCACTGCAACCACAGCCTCCTGGGATCAAGATATTCTCTTGCCTCAGTCTCCTGAGTAGCTGGGATCGCAGGCGTCCACCATGACGACTGGCTAATTTTCTTTTTTTTATTTTATAGTAGAGACGGGGTTTCACCATGTTGGCCAGGCTGGTCTCAAACTCCTGACCTCGGGTGATCCACCCGCCTTGGCCTCCCAAAGTGCTGGGATTGCAGACGTGAGCCACTGTGCCCAAATCATTCTCTTATAACTTGCTTTTTTTTCCACTGGAAAGTAAGGTATTACCATGGCCATATTTCCATTTTGTTGTTTAGTATTCTGTACTACTTATTTTCATTTACTCTGTAGTGAGGAATCCCAAACATGTTTGATGAAAAGCTAATTATGGGTTGTCAATGAATCCATGTTTGCTCAATTAATATGAATTCAATTTACATTTAATCATTATATTTCTAAAATTTTCTCAGTAGTTTGGATGTGGTGACAAACTCACTTGGATAAACTCACTTGGAGTTACACTTGGATTGGGCTTCTGAAATCACTCAATTTCAAATGATAATGGAAAATTACAGTTGCGGGGGATTTTAGAACTCATTTATCGCAGACTTTCTTTTTTAATTAAATCAAGTTTGAGGTATAATTTGTATATAATAAAAGGAAACCATCATAAGTATATGATCAATTCCAGCCCCCTTTGAAATTCTGTTTCATGCTAGCCTAATAACAAACCATTTCCAAGTGAATTAAGTGTTGAAATTTCCTTTTCAACTTTCAGAGGTGATATTTCCATTATTTTTGTAACAATCAAACATTTGTTGGGCTTTTATCCAAATGGCGATTAATCAGATAACATATCCCATTTACTGAGGGCCTGTTGTACATGTGCCACATGGGACATGCCAGCAACTAGCCTCTATGGTGGATGGTACCAACATCCACATTTCACAGGGTAGTGAAGCCAAGCTCAGGGAGGCATTGATCAGGGCTACACAGCTATGTGGGGCTACACCTGGATTTGTCCTTGGTCTTGTGTTAGTGCTTTCACTGCTCTCATTGATTTTATTCACTAGGTAAGTATGTTCATTTTGGTTACTTCATACCTGCTACACATATATATGAACTGGTAGTTTTATCTATGAATAGTAAGTTCCTTGAATGCTATTTCTGGAAATGGTATGGTGGATTCCTAAACAATGAGCACTCCTTTCACTGTTGCCTGGCACACCCAGAATGATTGACTTAGTTTGTTATATGGCTACATTATTATTATTATTTTTGAGAGAGAGAGTCTCACTCTGTCGCCCAGGCTAGAGTGCAGTGGTGTGATCTCTGCTCACGGCAACCTCTGCCTCCTGGGTTCAAGTGATTCTCCTGCTTCAGCCTCCCAAGTAGCTGGGATTGCAGGCATCTGCCACCATGCCCAGCTAATATTTGTATTTTTAGTAGAGACGAGATTTCACCATGTTGGCCAGGCTGGTCTCGAACTCCTGACCTCAGGTGATCTGCCCGCCTCAGCCTCCCAAAGTGATAGGATTACAGGTGTGAGCCACTGTGCCTGACCTGCCTACATCCTTGAGATCCTGTATAAGATTAACTACCAGCAGTGCCTTTCCCCCTCTCTAAAATTATACTGTTTCAAAATCAAAACATAAAATACTGAAAATAAACTTTTTATTGCTTTTTAGTTTTTACTTAGTAGCTTATGTTTTTCTTCTTCAAGAGGTATCCTTTTGGGTTCATATTGCTCTTTGAGCTGGATGAAATTGTCAGAAGCCTTCAGCTACAGCCAGTTCATGAAAGGTATCTTGAAAGCAGAAATGGTGTTGTGATCTGGCGTGTCAAATGTTTAAGACTGGCTGGGCACGGTGGCTCATGTCTGTAATCCCAGCACTTTGGGAGGCCAAAGCGGGCAGATCATGAGGTCAGGAGTTCGAGACCAGCGTGGCCAGCATAATGAAACCCCATCTCTACTAAAAATATAAAAATTAGCCAGGCATGGTGGCAGGCACCTGTAATCTTGGCTATGCAGGAGGCTGAGGCAGGAGAATCTCTTGAACCCAGGAGGTGGAGATTGCAGTGAGCTGAGACTGCGCCATTGCACTCCAGCCCGGGTGACAGAGCAACACTCCACCTAAAAACAACAACAACAACAACAACAACAAAAATGTTGAAGACCACATCTAGCCCCCTCTCCTAATTGAACCTGAACCTCAGGTCTCTGGTGAAATGTTGCCAATATCAATATATTGCTTTTTCCCTCTGTTACCCCCACTCCAGACATACTCTATTGTGGAAGCTACATGGTTCACAGTATGCATGAAAAGTTATATATTCTTAAAGATGCCCACTTCTAAGGAGATTTCCCTTCTCTAATTTGCCAAACTTCCCTAGCAGCCTGTTCAACACATGTTTCTGTTACCTGCCTTGCCCTCAAAAGCATTCAGGTGTTCCCCTGCACACAGGGTTTGAACAGAGTAGGATTAAAAGCTGAAAACATTTTGTAAGAACTGAAAAAATAGCAAGTATTTACTGATGAAAAGCTATGCTATTGCTTAAGGTATTACCATTGGACCTCTCTAATAAAGTCTAGGTGATTTTCCTTTTCTTTCCTTTTCCACTGATTTTCTACAATGAATTTGTATTTGCAATTAGATGTTTGGCAAAAAAAAATTTCTTCATCAGTATCCCCCATTCTATTTCTTAGTGTCTCTATAGCTATAATTCATTAACCAATGAGAACCTATGACACAAAACTAGCAGTAGCCACAGACATGCACACACACACACACACACACACCACATATATGTAGATAATTTATGCTTAAGGACCCTGATTCTCGTGGACTTTTGTCAGTTAACCTTTGAAACAAGGAGATCATCTCATGTATTTTTAGTCTGTAAGTATGTCTAGTCATGAAAAAATGCAGATGTAGACATTTTAGAGATACAGAAAATAGAACTTTTTTGATTAAAAACTAAACAATTTAAGATAATTAATTTTAGATTA